CCAAGTCCTATTTATTCAGGCATTTGTACCCAAATGTGCCTCAGTGTAAATGCATCCACTGGAGTCTAGTCAGCCCATCCAATGATGATATCTAAGTCATACTCTCCCTCACCCAGCAGCAAAAAGTCTCCAATAGTTCTCAGTCTAGTGACAGCTCTTTGGACCCTTGTTTAGTTGAGTTGACATGGATCCTGAGCTTGATGCCACCATTGCCACAAGTTCATATGTGCAAGCTTCCAGTGTCCTGGAAGCCTCTGCTTCCCTCTGTTCATAAGCCGGCTCAGCTCTTACAATCTTTCTGTCCCCTCTTCTGCAATGGTCCCTGAGCCGTGGGTGGATGAGGTTCCATATAGGAGTCCTATCCTACACTCTACAGTCTCTTATTTTTTATAACTTGGCCAGTTGTGGCCTTCTGTGTGCATCACACTCTGTTTGTTTCTCCCTTTCTTGACTTTGTGCTTCCCAAATGCTTCCCCTCACTGTTTCAGTTTGGCTGAAATCCATAGAGATTGTACTGGAGTCACAGAACTTTGACGGCATTCTTGACAGTAAAGCCCACAGCCGTGTGTGGGTCACTTGATACAACTCCATTCCCAGGAGTCCCTCAGGAATCTTCCAAAAAGTTTCCAGTTTGCCATTTAAATTGTGGCTCCTGCGTGTCTTCTGCTCCAGATCTCAGCTGGAGCAGGAGCAGCAGAAGCTAAGCTCTGACATCATCACGCAGGCACAGGAAGCAAGAGAGCAACTGGAGATACTGCAAAGCTTAAGAACTCTCTAAGCCCACCCCCAGTGACGTGCTTCCTCCAGGATAGCCACACTTTCAAAAACCTCCCAAAACAGCGCCACTATCTGGGGACAAAATGTCCAAATACTTAGAGCCTATGGGGGACATTTTCATTCAAACCATCACATCTTTATAGTCTCTTATTCCTACTTTCTAACAGGGTTTTTCCCCCTAGAATCTTCACTATAAACATCAAATCAATAATTGCTGAAATTGCCTCTGCTTTCCTGTAGTTTATTTTTACATTTGCTTTCCTTTGAAACTTCATAGTGGAAATACTCACTTTTCCTTGTGCTGCAGAATTCTTTAAATCACTAGAGCTCCTGTTGCTTCATTCTGATTATTCTAGAAAGAGAAGAAATCTCTCTTTAAACCAGAGGATTATAAACAAGTACTATTCATACACTGTCTTTAACTTCTTTAAACTAGAACACAGGCATGCTGTTATTAACCTTTTCAGAGATAGGATTTTTAATAAATAACAGCACAATAGGAATGCAACTCACTCTGATCTTGTCTTCATTCAGTGTGATTCTAGTAAAGTCATGTCAAATCACCTTGTCCTTCTATTCTTCCTTTCTTGGAAAATTTGATACAGTTTGCAAATTTTATAGGAACATTATGTTCAAGACTAAACCCACAGTTACTGTATACACTCACTGTGAAGCTCCAGGATTGTGCTACACTATGAAGTGTTTATTCAATAGGTACAGAAATCGGGTATGACTTTAGAAACTGTTATCGCAAACTGATAGAATTATTTGATATCTGTAAAATCTAAAAATCTTGTTTTCATTTTTATGAATGATCCATTGAACAATTTGTCTCTTAAATATATTCAATTGAAGAATTTGTCCATGGATATTTATACTAAAATATACTAAAATTAAGAGTTCAAATCCTGTTGGTTAACAAGACATTTTAACAAAAGACACAATAAAGTGAAACATTGTGTTAGTTAATAAGAAATTGATCTACTATATACAGAAAACATTACTTCCTAATCAATTGTGCTAAATAAATGTAGACAACTATTAATCCAACTTATCATGAAAAACTTCTCTTATAGCATTTTTTCTCATTTCTTGCAATATGTTTCAATGTTTTGGGTATGTATACCAAGAGGTGGTACAAAACAAACCTGGGATCATTATGGTTGATCTGAGCATAGATAAAACCAAGGGGAGGTCTCTGAGTGTCTTCATCACACAGAATACGCTGGAGTGCATTTCATATAAGTGCATATACATCTTGATCATTCTTTCTAATGGCCACATGGTATTTCACCAAATACATGTACATAATTAATGATTCTTCCATTAAGGCATATTTATGTGCAGATAAACATTACTAAACTTTTGATACTACGCACATTGCTAAATAAACACCTTATAGACACTTCTTTGTATGGATGAGCCTGATGGAGGAAGACTACTTAATTTTCCAAGGATCCTTAGATTCTTCATGTGCGTTTGATTTTTGAAATCTGAGAAGGCATGATAGTTGTCCCTTCTGTCTTTTGAAGTATCAAGTCAGTACCCAATTCTTGCCTGTACAGCTACTTGGAAATTATTTCTTGTCTTCCTATCTTCAGGTCTTTTCTTCATTCACTAATAATAGCGAATTAAAGGCAAGTAATAATAGAAATAATAATAATAGTAAGGGCAAGCAGTGCAGGAATAACATCAAAGCTCATGCAGCAGTCCTTGAATGGCTCCTCTTCATTTCAACGGACTCATTAACCCATAATTTATTTGACAGATTATGACCCTGCTTAGCTATCTACCAAGATATTAAAAGATAACTTGATTACTTCATCTTCTCACTCTCTTTCAGAGGACTAATAGTAACAGCAATGACATCAAATATTATTTGAAAAATAATTATTTGAAAATTCAATTGGAATTTGGTCTGGATAGCAATTGGAATATTTTTTTTCTTTCTTTTAATTAAAAATATTTATTATTTTTATTTTATGTTTATAAGTGTTTTGCCTACATGTATGTAAGTGTATCCATGTCATACAATCTCCAATGCCAGTGGAGGTCAGAAGTGGGTGTTGGTTCCCCTGGAACTGGAGTTAAGGACAGTTTTTAGCCACCACGTGAGTGCTGGGAATTGAACCCAAGTCCTCTGTATGAGCATCCAGTGCTCTTAACTGCTGAGCCATCTCTCTAACCCCTTCTTTTAATTTTTGACATAATCTCCTTATGTAGTCCAAGCTGGCCTCAAAGTCTTGACCTTCTTGCCTGTGCTTCCTGAGTGATGCACGTATGCATCACCACACCTGGCTAATTTGATTCTTAACATTTAGCATGGTATTTCTCGGAATGTAGACAGACTCAGGAGAAAAGGGAGAGCTCGATATTCCTTCTCAGTCCACTAAAACCAATGCATGCTGATCATTCATTTCCTCACTTCACAGGAAAATTACATAGGAAATAAAGGCCACTAAACAAGGCTAACCTGGACCTGGAATTTAGAGTACACATTAACTCTTACTTGTGTGCCCAGAAAAATTGCTACTGAGAGCAGCTTTTGGCAATTTCTTGAGATAATTTTTGGTGTCACGGGTGGAGAATGGAGGTTGCTCTTGGTGTCTCACTTACAGGTGCTGAGGATGCTGCTAAACACCCTTTAATGCATAAAGGATCCCTTCCCCAGGAAGGAAGCTTCCAGCCTCAAATGTCAATAGTGCCCAGCTTGAGAAACTCTGGTCATGAATTTATCCTATTCTAAAACTGGCACAATCGAGCAGGAAGAAGTAAAACGGTACATCTGTTCAAACATTATGCCACATCCCTAAGGATCCTAATTTCATTGGTCCAGGGTAGTATCTGAAGCAGTGTTTTCATGAAGTTCCTCTGAGGGCCTGGCCAGTGTGTGAACAAGACTGGTGTGTACTCTCCAGAGAGTCTGATCTGAGGAAGTTCACAGAAGGGCCTGATACCCCCCCCATTGCAATGTGGGGTTTACTGAAAGAAACAGAACAAATGTCAAGTCTTACAGGAGATAGACAGAAGTCTCTTTAAGCATTGGAGAAGGTTCTAATGAAAACTCAAATTTGGGGCTTTAGTGAGAATTTGGGAAAGGCACACCTGCATAAATAAATGTAAAACCCTTGTAGTTGTACAGAGTGCAGCCTCTGTCTAGAGGCAGAACCCCTATCTAGATCCTCTGTCCAGAGGCAGCCGGATTTTGGCTTCTACTTGCCCTTTCTTCCAGGTATCTTTGAGCAGAGCCTGGACAATGTAAGGCAACAGTCCCAAGTGGAAATCATCTTAAGATTTCCCCAGGATAACAAATAGGCTCAGAATTGCCTTATGGGTTTACACAAAACAAAGCATAACAAAAAATACCTGTGAGAGGTTTTCACCAATGCCTCAGAGAAACCAGATCCATCCTGGGGACAACTTAGAAATCATATCTTGATGCCAGCCAGAATCCAGCCATGCCAACCCACAGGGTGGAGGCCCTGGGCTGGTCCTGATGTTTTGGAAGTCGTCGCTGAGAACAAAGCAGGAGATAAATGATCTGGCTACAGGAAACTACCGCTGGATCTCTAAGGCTATGAGTGAGGCTGGGAGCTTCCTGTGCCTCGAGTCTCCCCTCAGCTGACCCTGGAAGGAGAACCTTAAATCTCATCCTAAACGGCAGCACAACAGGTGTGCACCCAGTCTAGCCCTTGATTCATTCTTTTGCAAAAGAGGAACAGAAAACTCTGTGGTATAGACTTTGGCGCTAGCATAACTGCGCACCTAGGTTCCATTCCCTGTTCTGCCCCTAACAAGGTGAAACTGGGCAAGTTTCTGAGCGTCTGTTTCTTCTTCGTAACGTGGACATAACAATAATGAACTTGGGGCATAGTTGTCAGGATCAAACCATAGAGTGTGGCCATGGTATGCAGCTGCAGTGGGCCCCTCTGGATACCTAGGTTTCCTTTTCCCTGTGACTCATGAAGTCTTTTGCACCCATGGATTCATTCTAAGGTCCCCGGATCCGTGAGGCGGTGGAGTCAGAATTGTGGGTTGGGGTTGGGGGGCGGTGGCGTGCAAATGGAGCAAAGAAAGTCACTCTTGGATATTATGGGTTGCCATAACATCGCTGGCGAAGTCTGGCTCCGAGGGGGACAGCTCTGTTTCCAGAAAGAAGGGCGTGCACAGAAGGAGAGGGTGGGCGGTGGGAACCCCGAACCTCAGTGTGTTCCAGGCAGGAGGAGGAAGGGAGACAGGGCCCAGAAGGGAGGGAAGAAGAAAGGGAAAGGAGAAGAGGAGAGGAGGAGTTTTTTTAGCCCGGCCCTTGCCCGCTTGCCGTGCAGCCCCTAAGTCTCCTTGGTCTCCTCCCGCCCCCTGGAAGTGAGCTGAGCAGCCGGCGGAGTGGAGCAAAGCACAGGCTCACTCACCATGCGGAGCCCGGGACTCCAGCCCGCGCTGCTGGTGCGGTCAGCACTGCTGCTACTGCTGCTACTGCTTATCCCACCAATCCGAGGCTTCCCAGGTAAGGGCCAGAGATGGGGCTTTCTTCCCAGCCGGGCATCAGAGATGCCTATTGAAGTCCTTTGCTCAGAACAGCTGAAAGTGTGGGGGCGCCCTTTGTTTACTCTGAACTATTCACAGTCCCAGGGAGGGGGTAATGCCTAGCTGGGCTCCCGCCTGGGCAAGTGGAAGGGAGCAATGTGCTCGGTCAAGCGGACCCTGGAGCCGGAGCCTGAGCACCCTCTGTGCCCAGGGCTCCAAGATTTAAATCAAACCCTCTCGGCACAGAAGGCTACCAAGAGAAAATTTGGACTTGGGCTCATTTGTTGCTTTCTCAGCTCTTGGCTTTCCATGTTGCTTCTGTCTCACAATTGGCCTATCAGGTTGGTCTATCGCGGTCAGGGCTCTGGTCCTGGCAGCTTGTTTCTAGAAGGAGCACCTATCCCTGCCACCTCCAGAGCTGCAGGGCATGAGCCACAGTAGAGGGACTCTTGTGGGCTGCACAGGCTACAGAGCCTCTGTGCATTCTTTTAACACCCCCCCCCCGGGGAGGGTGGATTCTGAGAAAGTCTGCTTCTCTGAGGGAGAAGTGCCAGCTGAGAACGGGGTGACATGTGGCATGCACTTGGTTAGTCCCAGGGAAAGAGGGAGAGGCTTGGGACTGGGCAGGAGGGCGTGGTCTCCCGCCTAGAAAGGGACCCTGGTATTTACTAGGGTTTCACAGTGTGGCCAAAATAATCATTGGAAATGCCCCATAAAACTCCAGCTAATGTCCTCACAGTGAAGTCTTAGATTAGCAGAGAGCTTCAGAGGAGCACAGCTATGTGTCTTGTGCTCTTGTGGCCTTGGAATAAATTGCTAATCCGTACACGGCTTTTAATTTACTGATAATAGGAAAGTGAGTGGCATGGATTATGGGAGTTGCAAATACTTGCCTTTATGTTTGACCGCAGTGTGGGCAGTTTAAATCAGGGGTCTTAGAAGGAACCTCCTGAATTGTGATAAAAGGATAGGGGTTCCTAGCTAGGGAGTTTGGGGATGTAGGGATGACTGCCGAAACTGCATGTTGCCAATTGAATGCATTGTCTAGAGATGTGTGAGTTAACAGACAGGAACATTTGTGTTTTGAACTGATGTTTATAAGTTTGAAGCTGTTTTGCAGGAATTGAATCAAGGCAGAATACAAAGGAGATTTTATCTTCAGCGTTAGGCAACTGTCATTTTCATAGTGTTAGTGCACCCACTCCCAACCACTTGGCTAAAGTTAGATTAAAAGGAGCTTCGAGGGAAAGAGAGACTCTTAATGAATAACAATCTGTTTTAGAGAAGGGGGCTAAGGCAAGCTGCCTGGGAATCCCAACTTCTGATTGAGCCTGTCCCAAGCAGGCTCCTTTTCTTTTCCATATGTCTTTCCTCCTCTTTCTTGCCCTGCCCACCCCTTTGTCTCTGCTTCTACACTTATATAGTAGGGCTTGCTGCCAAAGCCCAGCCACCCACAGGATCATAGATTTGCCAGCTTGGGCACTGAGTACTGCTCATGTTTTGGAACTTGCCCCTGACTTTCTTGGCTCATTTTGCCAGCCTGCAGCACTCCCTCCCCCACCCCCCAGCCCCAGCTGCGAACTACCAAGCTTGTCTTTGCTGCCACCTCTGCTGGTTCCCAACCTGCGACCTGTCTCTGCTCAGATGAGCTGAAGCCTTTTGGATCAGTGGAGCAGCCTCTGGAGCCCTGTCTTGGCGAGTATCAGTGGAGTATCTAAGGAAATGAGCTCTGCTGGGGCTCCTGAATCCAGCAGAGGGGATTTCAGTCCAAGTCAGAGACTGTAAAAGTCTGGGGGAAGGGAAATTCTCTAGACCTGTACATCTGAAGGCAGATCACATCAGCCAAGCTCACCATTCATTGTGGGGTGACAGGTTTTAGAGATTGTTCCAGAGGTACTCCCTCAGTAAATGGATGTTATGACTCCAGGAAGAGAGAAACTTTCAGTGTGCAACTTCTGAAAGTGCGAGCTAGGGATCTAGGACTCATCAGCACCCTAATTATGAAACCATCTGAGCTTTCATAGCAAAGCAGTCAGAGCAAGAGTAAATCATTCGCATTCCCACCCTGAGAAGGTTTTTGGAGTTCTTCCACTCTTGAATTTGATGCAGCTTTTCTGAGGCTCTGATTTATTCTTTGCAGCCCAGCAAAGATGTCATATCTATGGAAACCCACATGAAGCCTATGGAGCGCTCTTAGCCAAGTTATCTGTGTTTGCTTCATAATGAGAAAGGGGAGTTTTCATTGGTTCTGTTCTTAAATGCATTCTTGAAAGCTTCTTTATGTCTGAGATTTGGGAAATTCATTCCACCTCCTGCAAACAAAGCTGAAGGGGGAGAATGAATGCTGTGGCCTTGAAGAAAGCTTTGCAAATCTCCCTAGGACTGGAGAAAACAGTTAAAGTAGTGTGCTTTCCTTAGGAACACCGAAAGCTAAACCAGACTACAGCAGCTAAAACCATCTCCTGAAATGCTGCTTTTGAAGATAGGTATCAGGAGCAGAGCACCTGGCTCAGGCACTACAATTAAGATCTCACCAGGAACTGGCTTGAAATTTCTATGTGGGTTTAAAACATGTAATCAACTGACAAAATTACTCTGCAATAAAAAAGGAGATCTGCTAGAGAAAACAGGGCACTTTTGTCTGGCATTGTCTTTATTGAGGACACTTCCAGTCTACTAAATTGTTATCACTTCTCATTTCACAGATTTGTGAGTTAAATGAAGCATTAGAAACTATCATTTAGACACCAGCTTCACACCTTCCCACCTCCTCAGTCCTTGCACTATAATCAAAGCATAGCCCTTTCCTTTAAGATGATGACTGTAACATTCTCACTGTTAGTCTCTTTCTGGCTAACCTACTATGCTTTCTCTGGCCAGATACTGGCCTTTTAAGTGGACCAATTTTTGTGTGTGTGCATGTGCGTGTGTGTGTGTGTGTGTGTGTGTGTGTGTGTGTGCATTTGTGCAGGTATATGCATGCATGTATGTGAGTGTACTTGTGGAGGCTAGAGGTCAATGTCAGGAGTCTTGCTCTGCCTCCCTTCACCTTGTTTTCTGAGACTCTTACTGAACCTGGAGTTCACCCAGGGATCCCCTTGTCTCCTTCCTCCTCCCCACAGTGGGATTACAGGTGTATGCCATCACAACTGACTTTTTATGTAATTGTTGGGCATCTGAACTCAAGTCCTCATGCTTGTGTGGCAAGCTCTTTACTGATTGAACTATCTTCCGAGCCCATAAGTAGACTAATTTGTAGCCCATATTCCTCTACTCAGAAACTTAGAGTAGTAACTCCCCTGCTTACTCTCATGTGAAAAGCTTTCCATTGTGTTCTGGGGACTACGTAGTTTCAGCACAATTTTGGTGTTTTTCCCTTGGTTTCCTAAAATCTAGCCAACATATACAACCTGGCCCTATAGGACTTAGTTAAGTTTTCCTTCTTGATAGGTGCTGCAACTTGCACCTGTAATGATCCACCCAGCACTCCTCTATCCAAATTCTCCCTATCGTCCGGCAATACTTTCATGGTGAAAATCCCCCCCGCCCCAGTACTTGGGATGGGACTTGGGACTTATGGTCTTTTGCATACTATGCATATGCTCTATAACTAAACTATGCTCCAGTTCCTGAAATCATTCCTGGATCCCTGAAATGTGAAGCCTCCTGTCTTCCTTTAAACAAGCACACATTTTGTGGCTGTCTTGTGGCCTTTATTATACATTCCATAATTACAATGAGTTATGCATGCCTCTTCTTGATTCTGAGCCCTTGAAAGCAGGAGCTGTGCTATGTCTTACCCTTATCTGTATTTCCCATGGTGACTAACAAAATCCCTAGTGCCAAGTAGATATTTGTACTTATTGAATTAACTGTCCTTTGCAACTTCGATGATAAGTCATTCAACAGGAAAGGACCTGAAAGAAAGGTACACAGGTAAATAAGACCTTGTGCCACCATGAATCTACATACATAGAAACTACGACTTGCTGTCTGCAGAAGTTCCTCTTAAATTCATGGACACCCTCTGTTTAAGCAATAAGTGCCTCTGTTGGGGGCTGTATGATGGGAGACTGAGTGCAGCCACAAGCTGGAGTTTGCATTTGTTTTTGTTGGCCACTTTGCTCTAGGCCCTTCCAAAGTAGTTGAATGGTTTCCTTAGTAAACACAAATATGTGTGCTACATCAATTCCCCTTTCAGTGAACACAACTAAAACCAGTAACTGAAAGTAAAGAGCGTTTCTTCTGGAGGTTTACTTTTGCTGGGCTATAAAATAGTATGGAGATTGTAGTAGCCTGATTAACACTCAAGTTAAGGATTCACTTCAAAAATAGCTTGTGAATAATCACCTTTCAAGCACGAGATTGTCAAACCAGCCCCTCAGTGTCTGATTGTAGGGTATCTGGACTGCCAGCTTTTGTTGGCCTTTTCCTTTGGGAGGGCCTTGCTCCTTCTTTGGGTAACTTAAATTTTGCTCTGAAGTAAAATTTGGTTTCTGCCCTCTCTAATGAAATCAGAGCTTTACCCAGAGACTTACTTTTTGAAGCAGTCTGTGCTTGGGATAGAATGAAGATGATATGCAGTTCCTGCTCTTCAGTAGTTTTTCTTTTTTCTTCTGGGGAACTCCACATAGTTATCTCAAATGGTAGATGTTATAACACAAATCCATGATAGACCCTGGGAACACAGAGAGGAGCCATGCAGGCACTCAGTCTCTTCTTGAAGGTTGATCCCGAGAAAAACTGATGTCAAGATGACAAGGCTAAAGGTCCAAAGTTGCATTAGGGTTGTCTTTAGACTTCTCTCAGAAGGTCCTGAAACTGGGAAAAGATTCTCTCTCTCTATCTCTCTCTCTCTCTCTCCCCCCCCCCCCCGCCGGGGAAAAGCCATTATCTCATTCAAATCCACTGTCACTAGATTGTCTTCTTGAACTCTGGAGAAAAAAATTCCACGCTTAACAGGCAAAATGAGTAGGTAGA